TGTCCCCACAATCACACACTTAGGGACTTCACTGGCCACCGGGCTCTCGGTAGATGAAAATGCAGCCTTCAGGAGAAAACCAAAAACGAACAAGAACAACGGGTGCTTTGTCTGAATGATTTTTCCTTTCACTCCCACTGTGCCCAGCGGCTTTCACTGACCAGCCTGGACTAGCCACGGTTAGTCCGCTCTCACGGCTCTTTCTAGAAGACTCCTGGACACACACAAGCAAAGAAATTCCAGCAGGAGACATTGAGTTGCCTCGCCTTTCCAGTCTGTTCCTCCACCTTCGGAGGGGTCAGTCCCTCACTCCTGGGTCACACTCCATCCTAAAACTGTTCTTTGAAGAGGACCCCTGAAAGCACCAATAGACCATCTGAGGAGCCGCTCAACTAACCCCCAAAAGAAATAAGCAGAAGGCTCAGGAGAGATGCCATCTGAGGTTCTGAAGCCGTATGAACCCACCCTCCTGCAGAGCCTCCCAGTGGGCAAAAAACTGGCTACATGGGTCCTCACTAGCTCTGATTAAAATATTGCTCTAGGACAGTAGGCAAAGAGAACATTCTGTGTAATTATATTGGCATACAGTTCTAAATGTGCAAACGACTCAACAGAGGGAGAAGGCAGAGAGGCAGGAATTGGGAGGGGACAATTTCAGAACCCATGGAAATGCTAGGGGTGATGTATACATGTTCACTATCTCTGCTGGTGATGGCTTGTGTGTGTCCAACTTAATATTTTAAATATTTGTAGCCTTTTACTGTGTGTGTGTGTGTGTTGTTGTTGTTGTTGTTGTTTGTTTGTTTTTTTGTTTTTCAAGACAGGGTTTCTTTGTGTAGCCCTAGCTGTCCCAGAACGCACTCTGTGGACCAGGCTGGCCTCAAACTCAGAGATCTGCCTGCCTCTGCCTCCCAAGTGCTGGCATTAAAAGCATGTGCCACCACGTCTGGCTGCTTTTTTAGTATATTTTAATGATACCTTAACAAAGTTATTAAAAGCAAATAACCATGTACATAAATTATTAAATCTTGTCCTCCCTCAAAAGAATTAGTACAGGGGGAAATTCCACTTTTCCTTTAAGTCAGGAAATTTCTCTTTAGTTTTATGAACAGAATTAAGTTTCCCTTTTTAACGAAATCTGGAAACCATGACCTTTTGTTCAAGAGCATATTTATACTGTTATGTTGATATTATGGTGTGAATGCAAGATAAAAAAGCAACTGTCTGGTTCACTTTTCAGGAAAAATACCCAAGAATGAAAAAGAAAAGGGAAGGGTAACGGGAGGGAGGGGACAGTGGACATTTGCTTCATCTTAGGGAGGAGCAAATAGCCAGTCTGAGCTGTGAACATCCTACTAAGTCTTTATCAGGCTCTGCACGCTACAGCCACTTAAATCACACTCGCCATGACCACACTGTCCTGTCCCCAAAACACCAAGACCCTCTCTGACTTTTCCTACTGCCTGATCATGTCTCTTTACTCCATTCTCAGAGAAAATGAAATCAGGAAGTAAAAAGAGAGACATTTGCATCTGTGTCCCGTTGGGCAGCGGATGGGGTGTCACTGCCAAATGTGGCTCTTAGTGCCTGAAATCCTGCAGCCAGGGACCAGTCAGGTTCCAGAGCCAGCAAGAGGCCCCAGCAAGAAGCCCCCAGAATATCTCCACATCGATAAGATTCAGATTGGGTGAAATGTGTTTCTTTTCAAATAGGGGCAAGACCCAAATCCTCTCACTGTAGGTAAATTGTTAGAAAGAATATACAAAGAAATAAAAACCTGGAAGTCGATTTTCTCAAAATTGTCAGGGCTACGCTCTTTGAATAGGGTGCCCACAGGGATACAGCTTCCCCAGTTGGAAGACCCTGCCTTTGTCCTCCTGATAAGTCTTCTGGCCAGGAGGTGGATGCCTTATAGGGTACCAGCAGGAATGATGCTTGGGAGGTAGACATACCGGGTCCCATCAGCCAGCCAGTGCTTGCCATAGCCCAGGCCTGACAGCAAAGGGGCATTTTTGACATCACAGAGCCTTATTCCCGCCTCTTCCTTTTGTATGATCTCCATTGCTTTCTGTCCTAGGGAAGCCCATTGACCTCAGACTCCTGTCATACTTCTCTATCAGTCTTTTAGTTAAACAGATTACAGTGCCTTCAGTAACACTGAAAAAGATAGAAGATAGATAGTAACTTAAATTGAGATATTTTTTGTCAGAAAAACTTTGTCTCATAGTAACATTAAGTCATTATTTTAGACATTTCTATACCATATTCTCCATGTAGCCACACTCATGCACCATAACTACTATCATTTTTCCCCTCTATAAACGCCCCTACTTGAGAAGGAAAACCACGTGTCTCTAACATACTCGGACTCCTGCCGTCTTATTCTGGGTTCTCTGCAAAGCTATGCTAGAGACAAAGAACCCGAGTGAAAATTAAGAAACTTGAAATGAATAAAGAGTAAAGAAGAGAGATGAGATCCAATACAACAACAACAAAAAAAAAAAAACTTAACAAATTGATGGCTAATAAAGACAGTGGTTGGGGTTGGGGATTTAGCTCAGTGGTAGAGCGCTTGCCTAGCAAGCACAAGGCCCTGGGTTCGGTCCTCAGCTCCGGGGGGGGGGGGGGAGATAGTGGTTAATCCATCCCCCAGGACCTTCTGGGAGTCCCGTGAAAGGCCTTAAGAACTTCCACCTGGGAGACAAATGTGGAAGCAGCTACCTACCTATTCTCAGCTCCTTTGGTCAAGGGTAGCCCCACAGACACCGACTTCCCTGCAATTAAGGTTCCTCCGCACGCTTGGGCACAGAACTTCCAAGGCAACATGCAAGTTAAGAGAACCTGTTGTCTTGTCGAGGCAGCAGAGGAGGTCTGGGTGGGTCAGAAGCCAACCGTGAAAACGGCAGGCGCAGTCAAGGGTCTGCCTGCGTCTACGTGTGCAAAGAGATTCACGGCCCGGCCTGGCTGGCTGCTTGTCCATGGGTCCTCCAAAATTCCATCTCTAGGTTCCCAGGGTGTCAAACTGGCTGCAGATAGCAGTTGTAGGGGAGACTGGAGCCTGACTCACCCCATCCCTTGGTGCTCTCATTGTGACCATTGGGCTATACTAGCTGTGGTAAGGTGAGTGTGATTTCAGGGAGCACACTCTTTGAGAATGGACAAGATGCAAATACAGAAAACACTGCCCCCCAAAGTGCCTACTACGTATAAGCCAGGCAGCCTGCTCCCACAGCAGTCCTCCCATGGGTAGGAAAAGAGTAACTCTGAATATAAAAACATAACTCGAGAGCAGGGCAGAAGCGGTCAGGAAGCTCATACATCACGGTGCAGGCCGAGACAGTGACTGTCCTTTGCCCTTCTTCTTCTTCTTAGATACCCAAAACTATCACCATGGTTCGTTTATCCCCCACCCCGTGGTGAGGGCAGCCCGCTGGCTGGACGACTTGCCCAAGTCACACTCTCTCAAAGAGCAAGGAGCTTCCTCAAGGCTGCAGTTAAGGGAAGTTGGAAAGGGGAAATTCCACCTCCCTGCTGCTTTAGTCATAAAGACAGCAAGAAGAGAACAGCTCGTAAGTGGGCCCCATCTTCTGATTTTTAAGAAAAAAGAAAAAGGAATCGTCTTCAGGCAGTAAGTAAATACATTTGCTATTTATTACACCATGGGATACCTTGGAAAAACAATTTAACACCAACCTGACTTTTTTTTTTTTTTCCAAAGACGGGCTCTCCTATATCCCAGGCTGGCCTCAGACTTGCTATGTAACCCAGGATGGTGTGGAACTTCTGATCCTCCTGCCTCCACATCTCCAGTGCCCCTACACTGTTTATACAACTCTGGGGATCGAACTCGGGGCTTCCTGCATGTCAGGCCGGCATTCTGCCAACAAAGCCATCTCCTCAGCCTCAACGTCACTGCTTTTAAAACCAACATATGATCGTGTCTTACCCTCACAGGAGTCTCCTGTGGTCTCTCAGGCTCACGGCGGTGGCATTCCAACACGGTTAGAAAAACACCCCCAGAATTCTTTCGCGTTTCCCAGATGCTAGCAGATTTTTCTGTAGGCTGAACGTGAGTTTTTCTGATCAATAGAACGCTAATGGGAAAGTCTCTTCAAGCTTACCAGGTAGAGTGTGGCTAGGGAGACAATCTGGTATAGCTCCAAAAGAGGAGAGTCACACATCTGGCCAGTTGGAGGTGTGACATCATTCATTTTCATTTCTCAATTTTGACACGTTTACTGGAAGAAAAAAAAAAAAAACATCAACAAGCCTCTTCACATCATACTGCATAGTCTAAATACGCAGTGTTTGTACTATGTCTTGTCTTTCTTCACTTTTTACAGTAGATCTCTCTATTGGTTGATATCCATGTAGGACTTACTGTGTTTAAGATCTGAGGTTCTTGATTAATATAACAAGATGTCCTTTCCTAACTAAAATGCAGCCTTGGACAAATACACTTTGGCCAATCACTCTGCATTTGTGCATGTGTCCAGGGCGGGGATTTAAGCTTTCTTGAATTGGCTGATACTGAAGGGTCTCTGCTTTTTTGCTGTTGTTGTCTGTGAAATGGGGGCCTCACTGTGTTCTAACAACGTTAGCCACACCCCCAAACAGAGAACCCTTTCACCCAACTGTGGCTGGTTCTCGGAACAGGCCAGAACAAGACACCTCCCCTAGAGTCCCCTCCACCTTTGAGTTCCCCTCATGGCCACACCCTGATTTAGAGGCCACTCAGATGAAGAACTCTCACTCATTCTTGTCTAGCTCACGGCAGACAACTGAGCGACTCTTACTAGTTTCTTTTTCAGGGTGTGAAAGACAACCTTCGGAGACTCGAGAACTCTGTCCCATCTCCGAGGAGCAATAGAATTGTCTTCAGTACCTGCTTGGTGTGTACCATCCAGGCTTCTCTACTGCTCTGTTTCCCGATTTTTGTGAGCCTAGGAGGTGCCCAGGCTCTGTTTGGCTTTCACCTTCTATCCAAAGCATCTGAAGCTATGGGTTGCCAACTGAGGCAGGATACACCACGACCCAGGTGCCCACATCTCAGGCTCGCTCATCTCTTTGTGCTGCTGTTCGGTCTTTTTCAAATGTCTTCAGGTAAGGAAGGAACTTTCAGGAACTTGACTTAGGCTCGCCGGGGTTTTGAGGAAGATGACGCTGTTCTCTGTTCTGTCTCCCTCGGCTTACTTTGTGGCCGTCTTCTTCTGCTCACTTTGAGAACCGGAGGAACCCTTCAGGGTGTTCCCAGAACACTTTAAAGCTAAGAAAGTTCTGGTTCAGAGAGGGTAAAAAGACATGGAGGGTCACACAGCAAGTCAGAAACCAAGTTAAATTAAGAGCTTCAACTCTAACATAGAGGTGGGGACAGTATTATTTTAATGACACATAAAACCAGACAGTAGCTTAGAGCTGTGGCCTCCTCCATCTGTATTAGATGTTCATTTACATCTCGTTATGTGCCAACAGAGTTGGTCTGGGATTCTAGTTTCCAAAGTATGTTTCTACGGTACAACTCAATTAATGTGTTGTGGCCTACCTCTAAGACCAGCCGACGATGACCTTTTCCACTCGGGGGAAGGCGGGTAGTTGAGAAATGTCATCTTCCTCGTGTGAAATCTTTCTCTTAATGTTTCTTCTTAAGCTTTGCTTTCTTTCAGTGTGTCAACACTGGCATCGAGCAGCTGGGAGTTAGTACAAAATGATTTTTTGTTGTTGTTGTTATTTCTAACTGGCTGTGTATTTCATATGTGTTCTTCAAAGAGTATTTTGTTCTCAAGGTGATTCTGTTTCTATGCATGTTATCTTAAGGATGCTGGACTTTGGGCACTATCAAGGGCTGGGGGCTCCATGCAGGTCATGGTTTGCTTGGGAACTGTCATCCACCGGGTCCTGCGTGACCTTTTTTTTTTAAAGGGGTAGCTGGACCATGGGACTTTTTTTCAGTTCAGGAAGCAGAAGATCTGCTTTCTAAGGAGTAGAATATAAACTGTTTCTCACAAACAAGGAGGGAGCTAGAGTACCACACAGCAATGCAGAAACTGGACTCTCAGCCGCCCTGATGTAAAGCCGTTCACCTAAAATCCTGCCCCGAATATCTAAGAGCATGAGAGATGAGCAGAGGGGAAGGGAAGAGGATGAGGGTGCGCAGGCCACCTGCTCCCGTAGTAGCAGTTTCAAATTTTCTGTCCCGAGCTGGGAAATTTGGTTGTAGAACCCAGAGAACCATGACTTAAGTGCCCATTCATAGCTCGAGTTCTGTATGCAGTCAACAATTACACAGTTAAAAATGTGTGATTGGAAGTTACCATGTGTAAGCTGGAGGTTACTCAGGTCTTCTGGAGAAACTACATACGCCCAGAAATGGGGCTTGGGAGTTGATGGGTGGGGTGGAAAACTCTTAAAAAAGAGAGAGAAAGCAGGCAACATTTAAACCAAGGCTTGTTTAAATGACAGTTGCACCAGAAAAAAAAAAAAAAAAAAAGAGTCAGAAACTGAGCATAGACGATACATTTTTAGCCATTAGGAAAGCACCATGCACTTACCGCTGCATCCAATTTCTAAACCCGTCTGTGAACATCTTATTCTTCATGTCCACCTTATCCCGAAGTAGTTGAGCCTGCCATGCGTGCCCTCAAACAAGTTTGCCTTGGAACTAACCCCACGGGAAATATGAAAAGTAGGAGATCCCAGCTACCAAAGCCCAGGTTCTGAGAAATGAGGGAACAGGGTCACTGGAGGACCTGATGGGGGCAAAGAAGGATTCTGGGCAGGGTACCACAGTGAAAAACACCAGCACAAGTTTCCCCTCTCCCCTTTTAAGGCAATCTCATGTACCCTAGGCTGGCCTTTAACTCATTAGGTAACAGAGGATGACTTTGAACTCTTGGTCCTCCTGCCTCCATCTCCTAAGTACTGGACATGCAGCACCATGCCCAGTTTATGCAATATTAGAGATCCAACAGAGGGCATTCCAGACAAGCACTTTGCCAATTGAGCTATGCCATAGCTGTCTAGCTCACTCTTTTTAAACATCTACCCCTGGGTACAAGAAGTGTTTATTGGTCCTGGGAACAAATTCTGAGCTCTTTCATTCGTGGAATTTAGAGTCACTGGAAGGAAGAAGATGAGCAATCTGATTAATCATAGCACTAAATATGTGACTACCACAGAGATGAGAACTTCGTAGAAAAGGTATTGTTCCGAGGCACCATTTCACCTGCTGAGGACCTGCAGACAGACAGTGGTGGATAGAGGAGAACTGGAAGGGAGCCAAGCCTAGGACCTGGACTTTCAGGTCACCATCGGGAACCTGAACGTTATTCATACTGCACCGGGAGGGGGAGATGGCACTGTCCCATACATTAATTATGCATATTATTACCTGGGGGATGTTAAAAGGCAGTGTTTGGTTCTGGGGATTTTTCAGAGAAGTGAAACTATTTTGTATAATACTATAATGATATGTCTATTAAGCGTAGCCATTGCAAACCCATAGAAAGCACACCTCCCGGGGAGAATGCTGAACCATGACTGTGGGTGAGGAGGATGTGTCAGCACAGGTTCATGGAGTGTGACAAATGTGTCACCGTGGCGTGGGATGTTGATGATAGAGGAAGCTCAAAGGTGAAGACAGGACTGGTCTGTGGGCATCCTTCATGTTTCATGTTTGTCCACCTGGTTCTGCTGGGAACCTAAGACTGCTCTGAAAAATACTTTCAAGATCTCTTAGGTTTTGGTGTTTAGAGTCAGGCTCTCACTTTGTAGCCCAAGCTGGCCTGTAATTCAGTATGTTGCTCAGGCTTGCCTCCAACTCCCACCTCAGCCTCCAGGGCAACAAGGATTATGTATGTGAGCTACCATGCCCAGTTTAAACCTGTACTTTAAAATGCTGCTTCTGCTTAGGTGGGTCTGGACCAGGGCCCAAGAATCTGCTTTTCTAACAATCATCCAGGTGATGTTGAGGTTGGTGGATTGACTATACAGCCATATTTAAGAAGTAAGTCTGTATGTAAATAATATTCAGAGAAAAGCAGGAAGCCAGACATGTTAACGCTGGTGCCAGTAATCCTAGCTACTCTGGAGGTTGAGGCAGGAGGATCAAAAATTCAAGGCCTTGGGGGGGGGGGTGTCAGTAGTAGCACATGCCTTTGATCCTAGCACTTGGGAGGCAGAAGCAGGCAGATCTCTGTGAGCTCGAGGCTAACCTGGTCTACAAGGAGAGTTCTAGGACAGCCAGAGCTGTTACACAGAGAAACCCTGTCTTGAAAAACAAAACAAACAAACAAACAAAATTCAAGGCCTCCCTGGGCTATAAAGTGAATTCAAGGCTAGCAAGGAGAGCTTAGTGAGACCCTGTCTTAAAATACAAAGCATGGACTGGAATATAGCCTGGTGGGTAGAGCGCTTGCCCAGCATCCACACGGCTCTCGGCTCCATCTCTAGTAAGGTATAAACTGGGCACGGCGGCACATGCTTGTGACGTCAGCCCTTTGGAGGGATGGGCAGGAAGATGAGAAATTCAGTGTTACTCTCAAGGACACGGTGAGGTTGAGACCAGCCTGAACTTCAAGAGTCTATGTCTTAAAAACAAAACGAAAAGGGGGGGGGGGGCAGGCTGCAGAGACCGCCCAATGCGCTAGCTAGCCTAGCACATGTGAGACTCTGCATTCAGTTCCTAAGACTGAGAAACACACAGAAGTCTTGAGTCGCTGAAGAGTGAGGAATGGCTCCTAGGGCAGTCACAGTCATTGTGCAAACCCCAACAGGAGGCTGCTTCTGGGGCCAGATGCATGCAGCGGCGGCGATGGGATGGTTTTGATGGAGAGAAAGGGGTCCGAGGGGAAAGGATGGACTGAGACATGAGTAATAGGAAGCCGGTGAGGGCTTGGCAGGTTTTGGTGAGGGTCTGAGCGGCCTTTCGTCCCTGCGGTCAGGATGGTGTAAGGTGGAAGTAAGATGATGGAGGGCAGTTTGGGGGCTGTGGATGTGCCACACCTTCAAGCCTGCCTCCGGTCAGGAAGCCACACCCTGGTGGCATGGTCCCCTCTCCCCTACTACTCTCCAGCCATTGGCTTCCAGGGCAAGCGGACCTCTTTCTTTCTTAAGACAGGACCCAGCCACATCCTCTCCACCATCAGGTTTCAGGCATGGTCTCTTGAGGCAGAAACACATGGCTGTATTCCAGAAACTGAGAAGCTAAGAAGCAACCATCAGGGAAGCATAAGTGGGGAACCTTTCCTTCGGGACTGGGATCCTTTCAAGATGGCTCAGCCCTGAGGGCTGGGGAAAAGCTTCCTGAGGAAGCTGGATAGAAATGCATTAGGAGCTCTGAGGTAGAGAAAAAGCAAGCATCCTCAAGGTGTCACAAGTAGCAACTTCCCACCCACACCCTGCTGCCCGAACACAACTGGCCAGCACATCTCAAGAGTTACCATTGCCAGGTGGTAGTGGCGCAGGCTTTTAATCACAGCACTCGGGAGGCAGAGCCAGGCAGATCTCTGTGAGTTCGAGGCCAGCCTGGGCTACTGAGCGAGATCCAGGACAGGCACCAAAACAACACAAAAAAAAAAAAAAAAGAATTACCATCATTTGTTACCCTGATAACAGTAGTCCAAATCTCAACGTTCTAATAATTTAGAATTTAAGAGAAAAAATAAAGATCTGATTTTTACACACTATGAGGGGCTGTATCTAAACTGAAGGGAAAGTCAGGGGCAAGAATGAAGTCTTCTAATGGCTTGTGTGCCAGCACACAGCATCTTTGCTGTGCTGCTGGAACTCTGCACAGGCCGAACATCAGACCTGTGGTATGCGCTTAACGAAAAGCTTAGAAGTGCCCCATAATATCGCTTCCACAGAAAAGACTGTGAACAAACACCAGTCTCCCATCCACACACTAACCAGACCCAACCCTGCTTAGCTTCCGAGATCAGAAGAAATGGGGCACGTTTGGTGTGGTATAGCCGTGAACCTGAGTGTTGACATTAACATCTCCAGCTGTTAGGATGATAGGTAATATTTATGTTTTTCTCCCTTTCATTCTTTCCAAAGTTAATTCGTGTGTGTGTGTGTGTATGTGTGTGTGTGTGTGTGTGTGT